GAGAGAGAGAGAGAGAGAGAGAGAGAGAGAGAGAGAGAGAGAGAGAGAGAGAGAGAGAGAAGACTCTTGAGAGAGAGAGAGAAAAAAATCTTCTTCTTCTTCTTCTTCTTCTTCTTCTTCCTCTTCTTCTTCTTCTATGTGCCCACCCCGCAGTGCAGCGCACCCGCGCGCTGGACAGCGGCCCCGTGCTGCCCAGCGGCCGCCGCACGGCCGTCGCCATCGCCGCGCGCGTCGTTTCCAAGCGCGCGGCCATTTTAGTGCCCGGCCGCGGCCGAACGTGGCCGAATGCGGCCGAACGCGGCCGATCGAGGCCGATCACGGCTGAGTGCGGCCGGGCAGGGCTGCCCGCCTCCGTGGCGCGCTGCTGGGCGGCCGACCGTGGTGCTGATGTGGCGTGGGACCACGCGACATCGCGGGGAGGCGGCAGCAGGAGCAGCGGGGACGTCGGGGTTTGGCGACATCGAGGGGACACTTCATCGACGGTGCGGCACGGTCGTATGACATCCAAGAACGAGGCCATGACTTGTTGGTTCCTGGTGGGGGGGCGATGACGGGGGCTGCAGGGAGCAGCGGTACGGGGGGGTCGGGGGTGCCCAATTGAACCCGCTGTCCGAGAAGGAGATGGCGAAGTTGAGGCGAGGGAACATTGTTTGGAACTTCGTCACCGCGGGCTAGTACGTCGGGGACCAGTCCAAGATGCACGGGGACCGAAAGTTGCGTTGCAACTTATGCGGCCACCTGTTTCAGGGGGGTCGTCGAAGGTCGCGCGTCATTTCATGCAGTCGAAGTTCTGCAAGGCTGGGGGGATGAGAGTTCTCGCGGAATTTGGAATGGCACGAACTACACATTTGTGCTGTCCACTGCTCAGCGGGTGCAGAGGTGGATGGCATACGAGGGCATACGAGACACGAGAGCGCCCGCGGGTGGCCAGAGACAACGGATGGACGACGCAGAGAGGGACGACATTCAGGACGCCCTCGATGAGGAGGAGGGCCGCGAGGGTGGGGCCAGGGAGGGGGGGGTGGCAGACGAGGCAGACGAGGCAGTAAGAGAGCCTGATCTGCCAGGGGAGGAGGTGGCGATGACGTCAAGAGGCGTTGGTCGAGCGGGTCCCGCTCCTAGGGCGCCGCGACCTGAGTTGGACCGCGCGAGGAGGGAGAAGAGGACAGTGGGGCAGGCTGCCGTGGAGGTGCCAGACACGGGCAGGGAGAAGAGGGCTCGGCAGACCACGATTGACGAGATGTATGCCAGGCAGAAGCTGGCTGAGTTCACAGACGCATGGCTTCAGTGGATCTACATGAAGAAGTTGCCATTCAACGCCTTCCGTGGTCCGGAGTTCCAGAGGGTGCGATAGGCAGCAGAGAGAGTGCCTCGCTCTATCTAGTTCCAGTTTCCCTCCTACAGGGTTACAGCGGGCGCCGGTATCCCTTTGCAGAGGGAGAAGGTGGCGACGATGGTGAGCGAGGTGCGCGCCACTTTCCGGCACAGCGGTGCCACCATCCTCTCCGACGGGAGGAAGTCACGCAGCGGCAAGCCGCTCGTGAACTTCCTCGTCGGGGGCGCCAATGGCGCCCTGCTATACGCCACCGTCGCACGTGACGGGTTGGTCCGAGACACAGCGGACATCGTGTACCGTAGGTGGCGGGCCATCATCTTGTCCTTTCCTACAAAGGACGTGATCGGCTTCTGCACAGACTCCGCCAGTAACTATGCGGCGGCAGCGCGTAGGTTCACCACAGACCCCGAGCCTGACATCAGGAGGATCACTTAACTCCCCTGCTCCACCCATATCTGCAAACTTGATGTTGTCAGATATCGGGATGCGAGTGGTGTGGGTCAAGGAGACCATCATCCGCGCTCGAACGCTTGTGCGATTTATTAAATCGCACGGCGCTGCTCACACCCTGCTTAGGAAGGTGAGCCCTCGCGTTCAGCTCGTCGAGCGCATTGAGACACGGTTTGCATCTGTTTTCCTGATGCTGACGTGTCTCAAAGGCCGACGAGACGCGTTGGAGAGCATGTTGCACGGGGATGCTTGGGCACGCATCCCGTGGGATCGCGCCCACGTATCTTAGGCGCAGTGGGTGCAGCAGCAGATCCGGGACGGGGAGTTTTGGCAGCGGGTCGAGTACACCATCCTAGTCATGTCGCCCGTCCACCAGCTGTTGCGCAGGATGGATAGAGGTGGGATGATGATGTCCGTCGTTTACGAGTGGAGTCATCATCTGCTGCAGTTGATGAGGACGGTGGACGTGCCGGAGGACATGATCGAGCCGTGCGTGCGTGAGGTTGCCATCCGCAACCACCACATGCTAGAGCCCGCACATGCCGCGGCCCACCTCCTCAACCCTCGTCGACGGTCCCTCACGTATTACCATTCGCTGCAGACGACCGCCGAGGACCGTTGTGTGGTCGAGGAGTGCGACAGATTTCTCCTGGCGCAGACCGGCGGCGATCCGGTCGGCTTATTGTACAGGACCGTGAGGGACCAGATGAGGGCGTTCCACTCGACGCGAGGGGATTGGGGAGATCGTGACCTCTCCGATGCCGAGGCGGCCGATTGTAGGGGGGACAGCGAGACCGAGCGATGTGCAGCGTGGTGGTTTGAGCATGGACGTGCCCACCCAAGGTTGCGCACCATCGCCATCCGTGTCATGCACTTGTGGACGTCCGCCTCTCCAGCGGAGAGGAACTGGGCGGAGCACGAGCGCGTTAGCACGACGAGGCGCTGCAAGCTTGGGTTCGCCAAGCTTGCACAGCTGGTTGAGATTGCCACCAATCTCAAACTGGCCTCGTGCACACGGCAGGGTGGTGGCTACGTGTTGCCATGGGTTATAGGGACCGATCGGGGGGGGACGGCGGTAGAGGAGGAGGATGAGGAGGGAGATGTGGAGCCCGAGGTGTGGGGAGCGCGACCTGATGGCAGTGGTCTCGAGCAGGACATTCAGCGACAGATTGTCTCTTTCCGTGACAGCTGAACGTCCAGAGCCCGTTCGGTTCGGGACGCATTCGGCAGCAGAGCGACAGAGCTGCGAGCGTGGCCGGAGGGTGGGGATGATATGGACGCTGCTGCGGCGGACGACGACATCGACGACGACGACGACTGGACTGACGATGATGACATGCCGCTGAGTTGCGACCAGACGGCTGAGCGAGTGTACTTCACTTACGGTGGGGGTCGTGATGGCATGGATTAATTCACATCAGTTATCACTGGTGATGTGCCGTCGATTGCACCGGTGAGTGGCAGCAGCAGAGCGGGCGCTGGTCATGTAGGACGTTCGCATGTGGAGGTTCGCGAGGACAACGCGGGGGAGCAGCAGTCACGGGGAGGTCTCCGTCATACAGGCAGGCGTTGGGAGGTTAGGAGCGACAACGAGGCCGAGGGGGAGGCCAAGGAGGAGGAGGTGCCCCTTCGTGATCGTCGCTTCTCTCCCTCCCATCATCCGATCTCTGCACAGCCTGAGGCACTTAGGCGTTCAGAGAGGTTGGCGTCGGCAGCAGGCAGAGGCCGGACACATGACGGTGAGGATCGTGGGGGGGAGAGGACTCCTTCCCACGCCGGTATCCGCCCCCGCTCGCCGTCGGTGCTCCGCACACAGGACTTCAACGTCGTAGGGCGTGGTGGGAGCTTGGGAGATATTAGTGTAGAGGGACGTCGATGTGCCTCACTGCAGGAGGAGCGCACAGACGTGGACGTTGAGCCGGGCCCTGTTGAGACTGAGGAGGAGAGGGATGCCCGTTTGGACCGAGAGGAGGAGGAGCGGCTGAGGAGTTTGCCACAGTGGGAGGGTCGGTTCGCATTTCTCGACGAGCAGCGTCGGCAGAGGGACTTGGAGACAGGAGGGGGGGGGAGTCGTGACGTCGACGACTCGGGTGTCCCTGAGGAAGCGGTTCAGGGGGAGTTCGATTATGAGGGGCAGGATGCCGCCGCAGGTGGTGGGTCATATGTTGGACGACGCGGCGACGAGGAGACCGCGGGTGTCCCTGAGGGGCACGATGTTATCATGGGCCGTGGCGACAACGAGACTGCGGGTGATGAGGGACAGGGTGCCGCAGTGTGCGGCAGAGGAGAGGGTAGACCCGGTGGAGATAGGGATACCGCGGGTCTCGGTCAAGACGATGGACCGGACGATGACGATGACGACGACCACGGTTCCGAGAATGATCCGTATAGGCTCGCCTTGGTGTTGAGGGACCCCACAGTGCATCCCCTGCGCCTCGACGACACAGCACACACTTTCACGGGAGACCGTTTCACACACGTGAGCCGCAAGAGCGGCAAGCAGCGGGCCCCTGGGAGGGTATATTCATCGCCGCCGTTCACAGTGTAGAGCCCTCACTGGTCGGGTTCGTCGCTCAGCGACGTTAGAGGGAGGGAGTCCGGTGCGGGTGAGGTGGGGTCCGGCAGACCCAGCGATGGCGGCAGAGATAGCGCAGGATCGATGCCTCCACCGCCCGCACGGACTCCGGAGGCCAGGGTTAACACCGGGAACCGGACAGTGGCACCCGGAGTTGCGGACAGTGGCGGTTCCCCGCTGCCAGTCCGAGGAGGTGTGGGTGGCGGATGGTCAGCTGTTCGTCGGGTCGGGGACCGGTTGCAGGCGGATTACGACGCAGGGAGGGGCGTCTTCACGGGACGTACGCCTGTTCAGGCGCAGGCTGCGGAGGGTGGGTCCGGATGTCCGAGCCTGCAGATGGCAGGCCACATGCTTGGTTTGTCACGAACGGAGACGAGGATATCATTGGTCCTCGAGGCCCCAGGGACATTCAMGGACAGGCTGCAGGGAGAGCAGTTCACATCGGGCGATGAGGGGTTGTTGATGCGTCCCGGGAAGAGACGACAGCATGGCCTCTCGGAGGTTGAGGCTCGACTCGCTGCAGGGGTCGCCGCAGGGCAGGCAGCATTGGACGCGATTCGGAGGGAGAGAGAGAGGGGGATTGCTGCACAGGCGGAGGAGGACGAGGACACAGACACTGAGTTAGAGCCGATCGAGACTGCGGTCCGCAGACACAGGGCACACGTGGCCGCGGCGGCCGCTGCAGCACATGCGGCATACGTTAGCGGGGCATGTGGCACAGGTGCCGGAGGGAGAGGAGGGCRCCGGGGAGGACCGCATGGCCGCCCGTCCGCCGAGAGAGGCCGCGCGCGCTCTGGTGGGAGATSACGACGTCCGTGGTGTTTTTTTTTTTTTTTCCATTAGTTTTTTTTTGTTTTTCGCGTGGCTGTACAGCCTGGACGCTCTGTCGGCAGGGTTGTTGCATATTTATGTCGATGTTGTTCCATTGAGACGACGACAGACTCGACAGTATGTGGACATTAGGGTTTTCTTTTTTTTTTTGCTACTCGGTTGTACAGTAGAGACGACGCCTGTCGACGGGTCCAGTTTTTTTTTGCTACTCTGTTGTGTAGCGGAGATGATGGGTCCAATTTTTTTTTGCTACTCGGTTGTACAGTAGAGACTACGGGTCGAGTTTTTGGCTTCAACCTTGTACATACGCATTTCCATTGAAATGCTTTGTCATATATGTGCTCTTGTTCTTGTTCCTCCGCCAACAATGGTCTTGCTTTTGAGTCGCTGTTGTTTGGTGATTGTTTTCTGCTCTGTTGCCGTGATTGTTGCAAATTATGTGCTTCTCCGATGCCACGCACCTGCATGTCATGGATGCCTCCATTATCAATGTGTTATTAATTTCAGATGCGACATAGAGATGATGTGCTAGTGATAGCAATGAATGTGTTCTTACATAAATGATTTGCTAATGAATGTCCATCAGTCTCATGAGTGAACACACACTATGCCACACTTGCCTATTATAATTGTTTGAAACTTATGGTTCGCCGCACTGTGATTGATTTTCAATGTGTTTTGACATTGGTATGCCAAGCAGGGTCTGACTTATGATCGCCCTGAATGTGTTGTTTTAAAATATGTCACGAAATGTCATCGCCCGAATGAAACCGACGCCTTCCTTTTAATGCGTGAGGCCCTGATCCGCATGGGGTCTGCGATCTGCAACCCCATCTACCTTCGACCCGACTTGGCCGCGCGGGCCGCCCCAACGAGGCCCTCATCCAGCCCACGTTGGGCCGCCCCCGCAGGGGTCAAATATTTTTTTTTATATTTTTCTACTGTTCCGGACCCTCTTCCCTGCGACCCCGCATCGACGAACCCGCGCACGGGGGACGCAGGAATTTTCGGGGCACACCCTTTCAGAGCCATGCGTAGGACCCCCCCGTTTTTTAATTTTTTGACGCCCTATTACTTTGAGGATGTGCCCCTCCCCCCCCCCCMCCCCAAATCCATTCCCCGCTTCAAACCCCCCCCCCCAGATTAGCCGAGACCGAGGCCGAAAAAACTCGGTCGGGCCGGCCGCGGCCGGGGGGGTTCCGGCCTAGGCCGCCGGCCTCGGCCTAGGTCGAAATCGGTCGCGGCCAGCGTGCAACATAGCTTGCATCACCTTTCGGTCGCAAGGGGGTGGTTATCTTCTTGAAGGCTGGCGACGACTGTACAAGCTGTTCGACATGTCTATTGTAGTTTTTGATGGACAGACATCCCTTCTAAGACATCTAAAAACCGAAATATTTACAGGTGGGGAGTTCCAATGCCGACTGATCCGCAAAATAGCCAATATGAGCGCTCTTAGGAAGTGTGCTTTGCTATCTTTGATGCAGGTTCCAGGTAATAGGAGGCTTTTATTTAAATGTGAATATGGAGCGTTGATTAAATTGGTCAACTTTATTCTTAGTTTTAAATCCCAACGCACACAGTATATTCTACGTGGAATAGTTGGGAGTATTTTGAATAAAAAAGTGGGTTTCCGTTGTACCGCTCCTGTTATTATAAAAATTAAATATTGTCCTGCTATCAGCAAGAGCAAAGTAACTAATGTTGTGAACAAGATTGTTCGAAAAAAGATTAACATTGCCTTTTTGGCCGATTTTATCCTATCTAGAGTTGGGATAGTTTGGACCAAGAATCCGAACATAGGACAACTGCTATATAACCATCGAAACTTGTCCAGGATTGCCTTTGAAACATGCTCCTGCGCGGATGCATGCTCAACCTTGCCAAGGAACAGCGAAGGGCACATCGCCTTTCGGTTCTCTGAGCTCTCTTCCCATCCCAATGCCCTGACTAAGTCACGTAATATCCCCCCACCCTCTGCTCCCACTTAATTCTCCATGCTGAAATCTGCTATCCTAACTGGAGTCTCAAAAATCCTAGGCCCCTCCTTCTGTAGATCTACTGACATTAGGGGCTGTTTTCGGACCATCCTCCCTTTTTGCCCAGAACCCATTGATGTCATACACGAATGGAAGAAGAAACTGAACCGCCTTGTGATCTGTCTTATAGATCACAATCCGGGTGACTCATTTGCATGTTGCATGGAGACTTACAACTCCGCACTTAGAGAATTATACTGGAAAAATAAAGGTTACAAGATCATTAACAATAGTGAGGAGAGCGTGCTAAGAAACTGCAAGCAGGAATTCGATGCTCTGCTTCGCTCAAAGATTGGTCCTTGGGATAAGAAAGGTAGCCTGGGCAATGGGTATGGCATTCCGAAGCATAAAGATGTTTCTAGATAGCGTCCCATCTCCCCCTCATTCTCTGAACCGAGCGTAAGCTTAGGGCATGTAGAGCGATCTCCAAGGCCATCAAACACCTCCTTAGGAATTTGCCTGCTAACCTACGTATCCCCGACGGCCGCGGTCGCCGCGGGCATGATTGCGGCCCGCGGTTGGAGCCGCGGGGCCGCGGGGCCGCGGTCATGACCGCCGCGGCCGCGACCGAAATCGGCTCACTGCGGGCGAGGGGAGGGGGGTCCTGCCAATAGGGGTCGGGATTTCGACGGCGCGACCAGGGCCCCACCCCCCACCATTGAAAAATGGGGGGGTCCATTTTAAGAGGGGGGTGGGGAAATACAGGACCCCCTTTTTTTTTCCTTTTTTTTTTACTTTTCTTTTTCTCGTTTGATTGCACGATTACGCAGTTTTTTGTTGTACTTTTTTTTTTTTT